GAGCCATGAGTATTGCTAGCATCCTCACAAACACTGTGGAAGGTGTGTGCTACTCATAGCGTAATATTTAATACCTGTTTTTTCAATGGATTTCTGAAAATATGAGTTGAAGATTGAAAACTGATTTCAAATAGCTTAATTAACAGATACTGTCCCACAAACCAACACATATTTATCAGTAAACTCAAAGCTCTTTATTCACTAAGGTTATTACACAAGTAAGCATTAAAGTTATTACATAAGTAAGCATTTCTATCTCATTGTTTTGCCACCATCTACCTCATGTGGTCATCAGGACTACAGAGTTATGTTTGATGGTCATAACTGAGTGGATGCTTATGCATATTAACTAAAAATATATTATTGGTCACAAAAAGGCCACTGAACATTTTTTCAAATATATGCAACCATTGTTAAAATATATACGTATTTTTAGCAGTTATATTTATTCAGTTACTCTTTAAAGAAGTGCTATTCTAGGTGATAAAAATGTTTTTTTCTTGAACTAGGAATGAAAATTATATTGAAAATTTTTACCTAAACACCACAAATTTCAAAATAAAAATATTTACATAATAGAACAGTAAGTGGGAGGAACAGGCTGAGGTGTGATCAAGGAACAATAAAATACATAATACAAATCAATGCATAAATTGATACTGATTGGAATAGTGATTGGAATACAAAGAAATTGTGCTTGATAGATAAGCTTTGAACAAAATAAATACATTTTATAGCAATTTTTAAAGACTTTCTTGAAAAGCCCTGTAAAAATGTATAAAGGGCGTGCTTATAGGAGGTTAATCAGTACCAGTTTAGGTTGACAACTTGACTGGTACAATTCATATAGGATTGAGGAATATTAGAGCAATCACACAGTTACCTGTATGAACTTTCTTTTCTCACAGAACTCGAAGAATCAAGACAGAAATGCCCACCATGTTGGTATAAATTTGCAAATATTTTCTTGATCTGGGACTGCAGTCCGCATTGGTTAAAAGTAAAACATATCGTCAACTTAGTGGTAATGGACCCATTTGTTGACCTGGCTATTACAATTTGCATTGTTTTGAATACACTCTTTATGGCTATGGAACATTATCCGATGACCGATGAATTCAATAACGTACTTTCAGTTGGAAATCTGGTAAGTCTGTTGGGTTTTTATGTTCATGATTTGGAAGAAGTATGTCTGAAATAACTGAAAGAAGAGTTTTAAAAGTGCTTTTTTTTTACTTTTTAGAAAGTAGATTTATTGGACATTTGTTGGCCTCCAGATATTACTCTATCAGAACATTTTTGGAAATTTCACAGTCAACCCTGGCTCATGTAATTTAGGATACTGTAAAATCAATATATTGCAGTGTTCTGCTAAGCCAAATTAAAAATTTAAAAAATGGCACCAATGCTACATTAAGTAAAGTCCATCTTAAGCAGAAGTTGATTTGTCTAACTACTAAACCAGGAAATGTATTACTTCCATGAAAAAGACACTATGCAAATAAACGTAGTGTTACTTTTTCAATCAATACAATAAAAATCTTTAAATTATGAATGTGTTTTTAATTGCTCTGTTTCCTGAGCACAGGTTTACAATAGCTAAAAGAGCCATTTAAAAGCATTTCTAGAATTTTCTTCTGTAAAAGACTTTTTACATGGATTTGTGGATTGTTTTCTTTGTATGCTTTATGTAAAACTATGAAAAATATCCTGCAGTATTTTTTGCTCTTATAGTTTTTATATGTTGTATCATCAGATAATCAGTAAGATAACTTTTCCTCATGTTGTCAACTATATTTTCTCCCTTCTACTTCAAAAAGATAAATTATTAAAGAATTCAGGAGTTAATTTTTTGTAGCTCTGATGCTTTTGAACTGACAGGTTTGATCACGTAGAAGTACCTGCAGCTGCAGTCCTACTTTGTCTCTTGTTTTAAGAATTGATTTCTTATAATGGGATTTTTAATAATCCCTGTTTTGTAATGAGGAAAAAAATATCTTAGATCATGTAAATAACTACAGGATTTAGAAGGGAGAATTAATAGATAAATGCATAGCTGGTTTTCATATACTTAAAATAAGGGAAACTCTGAATCTGAGTTTCCTAGTAAAATGTAAAATCGTGTGGCATTTTATAGGTTTGTTTTCCAACCAAGAAAATGCCCTAGAAATCCTGCTGTACATCTGACTACAAAGGGAGTGCGAGAGAACC